AGTTGTTGTGCTCAAATCCTTTGGATGAAGCAACAACTCGTGGACTATGGCCTTAGTATCAGTCACGTTCCTCTTCGTTGTGACAATACTAGCGCCATTAGCTTGACGAAGAACCCCGTTCTTCATTCAAGGACGAAACACATTGACATTAGGCACCATTTCATTAGAGATCATGTTCTCAAAGGTGATGTCGAAATTGAGTTTGTTGAAACACACAACCAATTAGCCGACATTTTCACAAAACCTTTAGAGAATGAGTCGTTCTTCCGCATTCAAAGTGAACTCGGAATTCTTGACTCCACGATGATCTAAGTTGTGCATCTAAATTTATTAAACGTCTACTAACTTGGGCGTCGGAGAACTTTTTCTTTTTTGCAGGTACCCCATTCGTGAAATCAGGGGGAACCATGCAAACAGCGCTGTCCAGGAGACACAACAGCGCTGTTGAGGGAAACACCGCCAACCAGAAAATTGTCCAACAACGCTGTCTATCAACCCAACAGCGCTGTCCCAGGGAGTCCCTTACACCTTCACTTTCCAGATACTTTCTGAACATCGATGTTCCCTTTTGAACATCGCTGTCTTTCCAAAACTTTTGTTTTCAACCAAAACCAAAAACCTTTTAAACAGCGATGTCTTACCTTCAACATCGATGTCGTTTTTTTTACAATTTTTTTTCCAATCGCATAACAGCGATGTAGGAGAACCCAACAGCGCTGTCCTAATGGGTTTACACCCTTACACAATTCTAGAAATTTTTGGAACATCGCTGTAGGGTACTCAACATCGCTGTCCTTTTGACTCTTTTTTTTAAAAACTTGACGCAGAACAGCGCTGTACAAGGAACAACAGCGTTGTCCCAACAGCGATGTCCCCTGTAGAACATTGCTGTTCTGGTCAAAATTTTCAAAAAAAAAATATCCGTTGGCTGTAGCATTAACTTCTCCAACAGCCATAATTTTGAAAATCAGGCTGTTGGACACCACCTTTCCTATAAATTGGGACCCACTCTCTTCACTTTTACACACACAAACACAAACTCCTTCAATATCTTCACATATTTCATCCTCTCCACTCTAAGTTTTTGAGTTTTCTTCACAATGGCCAAAGATAAGAACAAGGCAGGAGCTTCCGGTAAATCCAAGGCCAAATCCCGGGCACTGGTAACCAATCCCGAGGATCGCATCGACTACGGCGACGGGACGTATCTCTGGTTTGATTCCGAGGAGGAGCGCACCCGATTCCTCACCTTTTTCTCCAAACGGGTTGTGGCTCCCCCACGGATCATCCCGGAGCGTTACCCGGAGTTGCAGGGCTACGACGACCTTGACGCACAGCTTCATCAAGCCGGCCTCTGGCCGTTCGTCTCTCGGGCACGCAAGGAGATCAACCCGGCGCTGGTTCGGGCATTCTACTCCAACCTCCGCCGTGAGGACGACGTGCTCTACTCGCTCGTCAAGAGCACGCCAATCGAGCTCACCGTGGAGCGGCTTGGGCGCATCGCCGGCCTCCCCTTCCAAGGCGACGATGTGTCACACTATGGTGGAGAGGATTGGGTGCTCAACAACGAGGGCCTTATCCTCAACGAGCTTGGCATCACCGAGCTCAAACGCCATGCCTCGGGCCGCCCAACCATCCACTCCGCCAAACCCGAAGGCCGTCTAGCCCTTTACATCGTTACCCCCATCCTCAAACCCAGGAAGCACGGCCACACAATCATGCACGGTGAAGACCTTAAGCTCATCCATGCAATCATGCACTCGGCCCTAATCAATTGGGCAAAGTTTGTCATGATAAACATGACGATTGCGGCGTCCACCGAGCACGACCAACTCCTCCCGTACCCGTTCTTGGTGATGGACATCCTTGAACGGTTCAGGCTAACCACCATCATTGGCCCGCTCATGAAGGCCACAAAGATTTAGACAATCAGCAACCAAACCTTCCTCAAGCGGTCGGACAACACCGCGGCTGCCACTGCCGAGCCAAGTCGCACTGCCCCTGCCACTGGCCCAGCCGGACCCCAGGCCCGAGCCAACCTTGCCTCCATCGCCGACTCCCTCAACCGGCTCCACCTCAAAGTTGACGGGATGGGTGGCTACCTTGAATGGCTCGACGTGGCTGTTCAACGCCAAGGATACGCGATGAACTCGTACTTCCAAGGCATCAACTACGTCCCCCCACCGTACCACGGCACGTTCTTCGGGCAAGTGTACGGTGACGAAGACGAAGCCGATGACTCCTACGCCCCGTCAAGCTCCCCGGATGAAGACGAGTTCGACGATGCCGTTGATGGTGATGAGATGGACGTCGACGACGACGAGGAGGCAACCGCAGACGAAGACTAGGATACCCTAGAATTTCTATCTCTTTTACCTTAATTATCGTTTTTTTAATACTTCCGTTTTACTCAGCCATTTCCCTTTATTAAATAAAATCATTTCGTTTTATCTTTTTGTTAATGTCAAAAGGGGGAAGAAAAGGGCTATGCATATACTAAGGGGGAACGTCTCTCTAAACGAGACCGTTTGATTTTAATTCAAGTAAATCCTTTTTAAGCACAAATTAAGGGGGAACTTTTTCACAACTTTTTTAAAAACAAACATCCCTTAGTATGCATATCCCCATCTTGTTTTCCATTATCAAAAAGGGGGAAATTGTTGGAACACGGGTTTACGCCTTCGTCGTACTAAACTGTGTTCGTTTATGACAGGTTTTGATAATGCCAAACCGCCGCGATATATCGAAGTTAAAGTGAGCAAAACTGAGGCGAAGCTAAAGTGACCAAGAACCCAGAACCAAGAACGAAGAACTAGAATTATATTGAGTCGGTCTTAATGTGATCAAGACTGGCACAAAATTCCAAATCTTGGCTCTCTAGGCTTAATTCATAAAAATCTCTTTTACATATTCAAAAATACTTTTTTTAAAGTTTAAACTTGGGTCAAAACACTTGGAGTTCGCCCAAGCCAAAAACCAAGCCATTCGGCGTTCGGCTTTCAGAAACCGGCGTTCGGCTTTCGGCATCGGTTTTTGGCGTCCGAACCAACCAAGTGGTTTTTTTATAACTGGTTTTTACTTCTGGGCATATTTAAATAGTTCTCCAACAAAAACGCCTCAAAAACCACCTTCCATTTTTGATCGTTTAGTGAAAACCATGCGAAACGGCACGAATTTGGCTAGCCGTGGTTTTCAACTAAATGACGTGGTTTTTAAGATGTTTTACTTGATTTCTTAGCAAAATGCAATGAAAAAATGTTTTCTAAACTTGGTTTTTACTTTGGAGAACTTGCGTTTTTGACATCGGCTAACGGCGTGACTAAACCAACCATGGTCTGGCTAAACCAAGCCCAACAGCGATGTTGGGGTGATCAACAGCGCTGTCTGGCCTGGGTAACCAAAAACATGGTTTGGCGTTAAGTCTTCCAACAGCGATGTGGGACATTGGACATCGCTGTTGAGCCAAGGTTGGCTTCCCAGATACTTCTGGAACAGCGATGTAGGCTCCCCTACAGCGCTGTCCAACCTAAGCCAAAAATATAGTGCATTCACCGAAAGTTTTTGGACAGCGATGTTGACCCAGCAACAGCGCTGTCAGGCCAAAATCCCATCTTCAAAGGCAGACCTAAACAGCGATGTTCTAGTATAGGACATCGATGTAGAGACCTGACCGTTGGAAGAAATTTAAGGCTAAAACTTTCCTTGTTTGGAAGTCAACAGCCAAAACAGCGATGTAGGGGTTTTGGACATCGCTGTTGGCATGACCGTTGCTTCCCATTTTTCAAAACGCAAGCCTAGAACAGCGATGTCCAGGCCTAGGACAGCGCTGTCTAGGTGATTTTCAGCAGATCCAATTTTAATCAAATCCCACAAATTGTGCCAATCACCCCTTAAATGTTTTGGTCCGTTGGAGCCTATTTTTCTACTATAAAATGGGGTGTTTGGGTCTGTTTTACACATCACATTACTTCACAACTTCTACTCCTTCATTGCCAATCATCCTTCAATTTTTCATAGCTTTTGAGAGCCATTTTTGTGAAGCTTGTGTTGTGTTCTTGAGCGTTCTTAGTTTACTCATTATCCACTCTTAAAGAGAGTATTGCCTTGAGTGTTTTTAGTGTTCTTCGACACTTGACAAGAGAAAGTATTTCTCTTGTTGCTCGAAGGAAGGGCTGTTTCCTTCGAAGGTTCGTTGAGATTCGTGTGACTCGAATTCTCAAGTTGTACGGGTTTGTTAAGCACCGTTAAGCTTAACGAGATAGTAGTGTAGCTCGAGAGAGTCTCTCGGGAGGCTGGATTAGCCACAAGTTGTGGTGAACCAGGGTAAAATCGGTGTGTCTCTTACTCTTCTCTTTACTTCTCGTTTATTCATTTTTTAATCCTGCAATTTTTTGATCAAACGCTATTCACCCCCCCTCTAGTGTTGTTCTTTTATTCTAACAGAAAAAATATTTTGTCTTAAATTTTTTTTCTTTTCCCTTTCAAATTCCTTGAACCAAACATAGTGTTAGTGTATTCATTTTGATGGAAAAAATACTTAAATTAAAAGGCTAAAATATGTTCTTTATATCTAAAAAAATATTACTCCCTCCGTCCCTAAATGGATTACAATTTTTTTTCTCTCTCCTCTCGATAACTTTTGTTTGTTTACGTGATTTCATTAAGTATTTGATAAAATAAAATATTCTTGTCACCTCTTGTTTTGTAGAACTTTTCACGTAGTTTTTTAATATGTAATTTTTATATCTTATTGATATACCAATTTGTAAATAAAATGATTTCAAAAAGTAGGAAATTTTACTCCGTAACCCGCAATTTGTAATCAAATTGGGGACGGAGGGAGTAAAAAACATCAAGATGCAATATCAAATGATGACATTTAAGGGTGATAAAAACATAAACAATCATCAAAGTAGAGAAAGACCAGTGAAACATACCTTTCAAATGGGAAAGCATAACATGGCCGTGTGTTTGCCTATTCAATCGGTGCGTGTGAATTGTAATGGACGATTCCAATTGTCTGCCTTTGAGATCTCTCTCTTGGTTTCTACCTCTCTTGGTCTCTTCTTTCACTTCTCCCTAAATTTATATTCTTTTTTTTTCAAAAATTAACTTCTCGTTCACTATTCACAAGAACAAATTTTATTTAGTTTTTGGTCTATTTTTGTTATTCATTAGATAAATTTAGTATACTCATGTCACCTCTAATTTTGTAGATTTTGTAATGAAATTTAATCTCTCATAGTGTGCAATTGGAAGATATATTTAGAGGGAGGGAGTAAAATTTGGACAAACTAATTAATAGTTTAATACGGAGTACTCAAGAAAAACCACCTAAATAGGAGAAAAACATACTCCGTATGTCACATTTTCTAAATAAGAGTAAAATTAATAAAATATAAAATCAATCCACAACGCACAGCCCCATTTTCTTCCCGACTAGATCTTATTCAAAAGCAAATCTTTTCCGCCACCTTACCAATTTCAGCAACTGGAGTTGGAATATGAGCTTGCTGGGGTGCTATTAAGGTGGATGAACCTTCATGAACAGCAGATAACATCTTCGATCCCTTTCCAATCTTCATCTCCGCCACCTAATAGTAGTGTCATAGTCGCTACCACTTCGGATTCACAGCAACATCGCCACCACCATGCACCCCCACCCCTTATGATTGGTCTCCACACCTTCTCAGATTTGCTACCTACCCCACCTTAATTTCACACTTTTCAATCTTGCAGAAGTGTTTGGACTCCCTATTAATATTTAATAGAATTTTTATTTATCTTGAGCCGTGAGATGGATAATGATCACCAGTCATATTATTGCAGGTCAGTGGTTGAATTTGAAATTATCCATTTGTTTGATATTTTGAATTTGCAACAGTGGCATTATATATGGTAATCTGTGGCATGATGCATTACCATGTATGACATTATATGGTGATCTGTGGCATTTTTTATCATATATTTTGTTTTGCAAAATCTTTTTAGTTTGTGATTTTTTTTCCTTTCTTTATGTGGTCGGAAGGTAATTTTATTCTTCTTAAAATAATGTGTATATATCAAAATTATTATATGCGGATTAATTTTGTAATACTACTAAGTACTAACTCTATTATAGTGGAGTATTAGTATTTCTAGATGTGTCACGCACGGGTTCAGATGAATTTTTTTCTCGAATCTACAATGTGGATCTTGATTTTTTTGCAAATTATTTAAAAGTCAAATATAAATGATCTAGGTTTGATGTATTTCTACAAATCTATAATCTTTCTCCCTGTATAAATTCAAAAATATATTAATACAAAAAGTATTAGGGATCCAATATTTCTTTTTACTCACATTAATTTAAAAAACCTAAATTACCGACCTTATAATTATATACTCCCTCTGTCCCTTAAGATTTGTCCACTTTTAACTTTTTTTGGTCAAAATTTGTGAATTTTGATTTCAAATTAAATAAAAATGATATTAGATATTAATACAAAATTAGTTTTATTTGATTTATATCATTCATTTTAAAACTATTATTTTTTCTACTTAATATATAATATATATTTCATTTAATTATAAATCAAATATTGAAAATAGTTAATCAGAAAAAATCAAACAAGACAAATACTCAGGAACGGATGGAGCAATTAAAAAATAGGATTCTTCTCATCCATAATCCCAACTACCACCCCCCACGCAATGATTATAAATATTTTTATTCTTTTTTGCATTATTAAAAAACGAAATCTTAAATTAGTGATCCTAAAAATCTCTATGACTAAAAATTTTAATTTTAAAATATTAAGAATCAAATATTCTTCTCCTTCACATTGATTTGAAAAAACATTAAAATGTTAGTGCTGCAATGATTTTGTAGAGATAGTATTCTGGTCAAGATATAAATTGTTCTATCAAAATACAAATAGTTACAAATCGGAAATTGTATTTTCTTTGATGTGGTTGTAACCTGCAACTGAGTATCGAACTTATTAGCAATTGCACCTTGAATTTTCTACACAATTTTTCTTACTTTTTTTATTATCTTAAATCTTCATTGTCACTAATCTTCTCACGCTTCCCTCCACACATTGATCTTCTTTGTCATAATCTTCTTTGCATAAGTCTGTGTCGTCTCATAAAATAACATCCCATGAAGTTTACATGTATGATTGCGTAAATAAAAACATAGGAAATAAGTCTTCCCTCATTCAAAAATTATTATTTTATGTATAAACATTTTGAATTGTAACACAATATAAGTATGTACTGAGTAAATCATAAGTTACAATATAAGATCATTTTGATTAAAATAGTAACCAAGTTACCAAGATAAAGTATAAAAATCTTATTAAATCTTTTTTCTAATTTGTTTATTTTAAGTTTTCAATATTTTAAAAATAGTCAAATTGTATGTAAATACTTTTGTTTCATATAATAATTAGTCATCTTACCATAAATAAAAGTTTTAGCGAAGATATACATTGAGTCAATCACATAGTATACGTATTATCCATTTTTTTAAAATTAAAGTACATAATCTTGACACGTATAATTCTCTTAGAAAATAGTCTTAAGCCTTTTAGTTACCTAAGTATAAATTATAAATTTTAGGGGTGAGCATGATACGGTATGGTACGGTATTTAGCTCGTAGCGATACCGTACCAAGTATTTCGGTTCGGTATGGGATTTTATCCCGTACCGATCCCGATCCCGAAATATTGGTTCGGTATGGTTCGGGATGATTCGGTATCGGTTTCGGTACAAATCAGGATGAATATACATACCTACTTTACACGTTAAAATTTAACAATGCCCTTTTATTTTTTAAAATTTAAAAGTGAATTTTAAAAAAAACATGAAAATTAAAAAAAATGAATTTTTAAATGTAAGAGATGTGTGTAAAAAATTAGTTTATATTTCACAAACAAAAAAATGAACGACAATCAATGAGTATTTCAAATCTTTGTGAATACCTTTATGTTCATACACAAAAACTTACTTGAACCAATTTTTTTAAAAAATTATTCGGAGTATTATTTAGTGAAGGAATATAAAAATATTACTTCGCGATATTATTTTTTATAATATTTTAGTATATATGTTCGGTTCGGGATTTTCGGTATGGGGCGTCCCCTCGTACCATTCCCAAATATCATACCGACCATTCGGTTCGGTATGGTTTGGTTCCTTCTCAATATTTTTTCGGTTCGATATTTTTCGGTTCGGTAATCTCAGTTTTTTCAGAAAATTTTGGTATCGGTTCGATACTTGCTCACCCCTTATTAAATTTCCTTGATTAATCTCAAAGTAGACTTTTTAGATAAAGTATTTTCCAAAATCAGTGTTATTAAGCATTGATTATCTATGTAGTAATTTATAGTTGAGATTTATTTACTCAGTGTCCTCTGTATATGTTTGTTAAACAGATTTTCAGTGAAGGAAATTTAGGTATTTTCAACGTTTAAATGTAGAGTAATTTTTCAAAATAACCCTTTCGCATTAACCTTTTTCTAATTTAGGTCTCCGTTATAATAATTATAATTTTATCTCAATTGTGCATTTAGGGGCAACTTAATAATTTGTGTCCCTCTATTAGCCACTAATGTTCACGTTAGTAAATTTCAAATTAGGATAACCTCGCCTCAGATCCCCCACTTCATATCTATGTAGAATTTTGATAAAGTTCACGTATAAAATACGTGATTTGTTTTTTGCAAATATCATTTTGTTGTATATATCCCATGCGAATATTTCTTTTTTTTAAAGTGGTAGTCGTGACTTCAATGAAGTCAAAAGTGAAATACATATGATTATTTTAAAATGTTATTGTAATTTTTCTGTGTAAAAATCCTTGCAACTATATTTGTTTTGCTGTTTAAAAATAAATTGATATCAAATGGAATTTTTTTTGGATGTAAAATACATGTGATTATTTTTACGTGATAATTTTTAAAATTTTATGTGAAAAATGCAACTATTATTTTAGAAGTTGCTTTTATAAATTTATACTTCCTCCGTCCCCAAATATTTGTCCAATTTTGACTTTTGGAACTGTTCATCTAAGCACTTTGACTCATCAAATTCTTCTAATTTGTAAGCCTAAATATAGTCATGTGTGATCTTGTTTGATTTGTCTTAACATATAGATTATTAATATCTAATTTCTATAATTTTTTAATATACAAATTACAAGATAAAATGGATTAAAGAAGTACATAGGATGGTGTGCAAAAATGAACGTGGACAAATATTATTTTAGAAGTTGCTTTTATAAAATTTTTTATCAAAAAATGAATTTTAGTTCTCACTCAATTGCATAAAATTTCATGTATATTCTAATTTTTTCAATAATATTCCATCTGTGTTTGATTTGATCTTCTCAATTGACTTCTCTTGTCAATTTTGTATACTTTAAGTCTTTTACCTTGATATATAGAACAAATATTGTCTTTCGATAGAAATGCATTACTAATAACTTCTTTTTGAAACTAAGAAATCTCTTAATGTTTGGTAGCTCCATTTTTGGAGATTAAAAATATGTATTTTTTTTTTTTGATATTTTTTCCATGTTTATTCTTATTTTGGTAGAGAGTATTTTTTTCCAAAAAATTCTAGCGACACTATACATAAGACATATACTACGTATACAACTTAAATTGAATTTACCCATATTTTGACTAAAATTTCCACGTCATTCAATCGTTAATAGATGACGGATGATTTGTTAAAATGTTGCAATGTATATTCACTACTTGTCGCAATTCTAGGAAACTAACTCTCAAATTTAATACTCCATATAAAGATATTTCCTTTATGAAATTACTCTCATTTAAAAACAAAAGTTTTATTATTTATAAACATGTTTATATCAAAAAATAAATACATTTAAAGACTATAATCACTTTCTTTATCTATTTTCGTTAGTTATTTGATAAAACAATAATATAAGCATGTCAATTCTCGTTTTGTAGACCTTTTGATGTAGTTTTAAAATATATAATTTTTTAAATTTTATACCTATAATCAAATAAATTGAATTGAAAATAATTCCAGTCAAATCTCATAAACTGGACTGGAAAGATCATTTTAGGACGGATGAAGTATAAGAATAGCAGATTGAATCATTATTAATTAAGTGAATAAGGTCAACTCCTTTATCTCCAATTTGTTAAATTTGAAGTTTTAAAAGTTATAAGGTATTTTCTTCTTCTTCTTTTTTCCGTATGAAATCTATACAATAAATTAGAAGAATATTGAAATTTTTGAATATTTCGAATTTGGAGTTTATGTTTTTTTTAAACAAACACTTGAAAGGAGAGCCCCCTGTCGGATTTGAACAAATGACAATTTTAAAAGTTGAAATTTGAAATTTTGAACTTAAAATTTTCAAACTTAAAATTTAAAATTCAAAATTATAAATTTAAAATTGAAATTTTAAAAATTAAAATTTTAAAATAGAAATTTTAACATTAAATTAAAAATGAAAAACTAAAAATTAAAATTTCCTCAAGCACATCCTAACAACGAAACCAACTAAACTTATACCAAGGATAAACAACTAAAAGTCCAAAATACAATTTTATATAAATAATTTTGTGCTGCCAAACAAAGGATGTGGAATTATATTTATAATGGAGTACTATAATTCTATATCAATTCTCTAATTATACCTATTTTATGCCATTCAATTCTATGAAATTTAAATTTAATGTTTTACTCCTCTTTCACTAATATCCCTAATCTTTCTTCTTCTCTTCTTCTTTGTAGTTGGTTATGCGGAGAAGGACAAACGAAATACTATAACGCGTTTGAAATGGAAGCCAGACAAATGTATTCCCATGTTGACGAATTAGAGACACATTTTGGAATGGAAGCGGATTCTGAACAGAGGCAATTGTTTTAGGGAGATGTCTTTTTTTGTGCATATAATCAAACAAAATCTTTGAGAAGGTGTGATTTTTTGTGTTAGAAGTGACGTTCTTGACACATATACCTAGACTTTATGACTTGATGTATGTTTCTTCATAATTTGTTTAGATATAAGCGACAGTTTTCTGAATTCATGGAATCTTGGGCAATAATCCAATATATATATATATGTAAAAGAGAGTTCAATTGTTGTAGTGTTGACATGTGGCATGCCACATGTGCATCCACATGTGCACTCACTAATGATGTGGATTTATGAATTTTAATTCATTGGTCCATTTTAATTTTTTAAAAAGATCTTTGAATACATTTGCATAAAACTTTTTCATTTTTTAATAATTCTATAAATATATATTTCATCATCGTAAAATATACTCCATATTATACATACACACACACACACACACACACACACATATATATATATATAATTTTTATATTATCCACAACTTATTTTAGTTTATTACTTTTTAAAAAATGATTATATAAATTTAATCACATATGCATATTTATTAATTAAACGATTTGTTTCAAAAAATTTATCTTATTACATTATTTATTTTATTAATGCATATTATATTATTATTAAAACATTAAAATAAATAAAATTAAATTTTAATTCATATTATGTTCATATATGAATTGAACTTTTAACAAACATCAAAATGTTAACTTAAAATATCTATGTTAACATATAGATATATTTTATAGAGAAATATGCGAGGCCGTGCGAAGCACGGGGTAAAAACTAGTTTATTTATATAAGATTGAATTGTTGCTTTATATCTAAGTGGGTTTTTAATCTTCATTGGGGATGAAAATTTAATGGCAAAAAAAACTGCAGAGTATCTAAATTGATAGCACTACCGGGCGGATGCCTTCTAGCAATCCCGCCCAAGGCCCCAAACAGAGCCACCGTGGGAGGAAACGATCACTGTGTATATATTCAGATCTCCACGAAGGCAGTATACAGGTTGAAACAATGGTTCCCTCCAAATCGCTCCCTCTCGCTGCACTTGCACTTTTTCTCTTCTCCATTTCTCTATCCGCTGCTGCAGGAGGCGACCGGATTCCGGCTGTTGTAGAAGCTCTCTCGGATTCCGGCTACGCCGCCATGTCTCTCACAATTCACCTCATAGCCGACTCCATAACCAACTTTACTTCCACCTTCACAATCTTCACTCCGCCGGACTCCGCCTTCGAGGCTTTTGGGCAGCCGTCTCTCCCGCACCTCCTTCTCCACTTTGCCCCTATCTCCCTTTCATCCACTTCCCTCCGCTCTCTCCCATACGGCTCCGAAATTCCAACTCTAACCTCCTCCAGTCCGCTGTACGTCACTACATCTCGCCCCGACGGATCTACGGTCTCCATCAATGGGGTCAACATCTCCGGCTCTCCCATTTTCGATGATGGTTCCGTGCTCGTCTTCCCTATCGACGACTTTTTCCGCCCTAATTTCAGCCTCCAGATTGCGGGAGAACCAAGCTCGTGTTCGAATCCTCGCCCCCGATGCAAATTGCAACCGTTCTCGCAACTACAGGACGCATCCGCTGCACTGAAATCTAGAGGCTATCTCATTATGGCCTCATTTCTGGATCTGCAGATCTCCGGATTTCTGAACCCCTCTCCGTTGAAATTGACTGTGTTTGCGCCGGTGGACGAGGCTTTGGTTATGTATTCCGGCGATGTGTTAATGTACCAGTCACTTTTCATGAGGCACATTCTACCTTGTGTTCTTCCATGGGCAGAGCTGAGCGAGCTCGGGAAGGGTGCTGGAACAGTTTTCAAGGATAACGGGAACGGGTTTACCATAAACATAGCCAGCGACAATGGCTTAGTTTTTGTGAACCGGGTTAAAATCTCATTTCCGGACATGTTTACAAATGATTGGATCGTGATCCATGGTCTCCATGATATGATTGATCTGCCTGAAGAGACCAATATGGGAAGAGAAGATTCAGCTATGGGTTCTGAGAGCAAAATTCAGGAATCCATTTCACCAGATCGCAGTGAATTCTGAGTTGGGCGGCATCTTGTCAAATGATGATTTCTATACGTTTTGGATGCACAGGATGATGACCATTGCACTGTAGCTTTACGGTTCAAGCAAAGCGATCACTGGGCATGCCAATAGTCGTTTTATCGTCACTGTAAGTGGTACAAATGGAGAGGATTGCATTTATGTTTTAGCTGTTGCAATTGCAACATCTCATGGCTTTCATCACCAATCTCTTGTTCTAGTATTAGACTATTATCCCGTATTAATACCAAGTATTAGTAGGAATATATAAAAAAAAAAGTAAGCACACCAACTCTGCTGAATAAATCATTTAAAGCACTCTTCAAGTTCCAAAATAAAGAAAAAAACAAAGCAAACTGAAAAATAAACAAAAGAACATGTATATGGGAAGAAAGCAATCTGGCCCAATTCCACATCAGAATCTCAATGGGAAACATCATTTGTTGGCAACATCATCAGCCCTCAACTCATTTGTTAAGTCATAATTATTTATTCCATATGAATGATTTTTGTTTTCTGACATCATTTATGTGGAGAACCTCGATACTTATCAAGCAAACAGAAACAAAAAAAACATTACTCCGGTATTAACATAGATCGAATTGCTTTACTTGATAATGATACATTACTACAGACATAGTACATAACCATTTATTTCTCTTTCAGCTCCAAACACAACTGAGAATGCTTTGCATATATATGCTTCTCCTCTCACGCATATCCTCTTTGTTTCCTTGCAAAAGTCTTGACGAACCAATAGTGTTTTCTCGTAGTCAACTCGTTCCCAAGGATCATTCCAACAGCCAAACCACTAGCGAATCCAATTGATATTATCATCCACTTTATTTTAGAGTCATCTTCGTCGTCATCATCTTCTGTAGGGGATGGAGCCTGCTGTAGTTGAGGCAAAGACCTTGCATTTCCACACTGCTTATTCCAAGTTTCAAAGGACAATCCAGGATTCCCTTCATACGATTTGGGATCATAGCTACAGAACTGGTTTCCCTGCGGTATAGGGCCAGAGAGATTGTTGAATGACACTTCAAATGATGAGAGAAAAGTGAGTTTTGTGAGCTCCATAGGAATCTGTCCCGAGAGATGGTTTAGGGAGAGATCCAAAGATTCTAAATTTTTCATGCTAGAGAAAGAAGATGGTATGTTCCCAATGAGATGGTTTCTAGAAAGATTTAGCGCCTGAAGTCCCGTGAGATCTCCATACACACCTGAAATCTCCCCTTCAAAGTTGTTGGAGGAGAAGTCTATGGTACAAAGAATATTTGGAATCTTCATATAGTTCATTTCCAAACCCTTGTTGTGCAAGATCACCGAGTAATCAAATATGCCATAGTCTTCGCCACTCCACCTGTAAGTCGGATGCAAGTCTAGCTCCATGTAGTTTGTCATGTGACTTGTATTTAAGGCTCTCATGGGCTTCGAGGTGTTAATGAACTTTGATGGTAACTTCCCTTTGAATCTGTTGTTGGATAAGTCAATGACTTGAAGGTTTGAGAATGCAAATTCATCATTAATGATGCCATGAAATTGGTTAGAGTGCAAGTTAAGAACGCTCAACATCCTAAGTCTTCCCAACCAAAACGGAGAAGTATCTCTTATTTGGTTGTTACCAAAATCAACAAATTCCAATTGTGAACAATTGGCCAACGATCTGGGTAACTGTCCATGTAATTGATTGTGGCTCATACTTATCATTCTCACATGACATCCATTTCTCCACATTGACGGAATATTTCCATCAAACTTGTTTCCTCTCACATCGAGTAATAAAAGGCTATTGCTAAAACTACTCAAACATTGAGGAAGTTTTCCACTCAAACTATTGAATGCCAGATCAAGATGCACAAGGAATATGAAATTGCAAATGAGAGGTGAAAGTTCTCCAGACAAACTATTATTTGAAATTAGATAGGATGAAAATGTGGAAGTGGTGGAAGGCGGTGGGATTGGGAGAGAACCTTGTAGCATATTATGTCTAAAGTCTAAACCTCTTATTTTCACCTCGGGATGAAAGAGAGGATGTTCTCGTTCTAAACCAGTTAGAAGGTTATAAGAGAGGTTCAAATAGAGACCCGCTTTGGAATTTTGACCGAGATCAAAAATCCACGGAGGAATTTGACCCTTGAGACGGTTATTCGAAAGATCGAGAGCTTCCAATATATTTTTGTTGTTCTGCAAGAATGTGGGAAATTCAAGTAGATTGCATGAAGCCAATTCTAAAATTTGTAAACTTGGAAAGCAGTTGTCATTTTTCAAACAAATGCTTTTTAGGCTCAAAGATAAGTTATTATGTGACAATCTTAATTCCATTAAAATTTGGAGGTGAGAGAACAAGCTTAGATCCACCGAGCCAAACAATCTGTTATGCTGAAGTGAGAGACTCCAAAGGTTAGGGAGAGTGGATATATTTGTAGGAATAGAACCTTCCAAATTATTATAGGAAAGATCCAATCTGTCAATTATTAGGTGATTAAAATGTGGTGGGATATGACCACTTAATTGATTGTGAGACAAGTCAATGAAATTGATTTGAGGGAGGGTCATGATCCAAGATGGGATTGGACCACTAAGTCGGTTATAAGACATATATAGGTCAGTAAGTCGAGTGAGGTTCATGAGCGAAGAAGGTATCTCACCCGTCAAGTCCATGTTGTCAAGGTATAAATAAGTGAGATTGATGAGATTACCAATCCACGACAATGAAGAAGTATTGAGAGTATCCGGGGTGAAGTGATTAGCACCTGAAATGTCTAAAGAAACAAGTTGGGTAAGATTACCGAGTGACATCGGAAGGTCCCCTGTAAAATTGCAACCGCCGATGTCTAGTTCTTCCAAAGAGGCAAGATTCCCGATGGAGAGAGGCAACACCCCCCCAAAACTTGTATGATAGAGCCGCAACGATTTTAGAGGACTCCCCGAACAGAAGTTGGGCAAATAGCCTCTGAGATCATCATTGCGGCTTAAATCGAGCATCTTGAGGTTTGGGAGATTGAAAATGGCAGCGAGAAACCCACCCCTCAGCTCACATGAAGAAAGATCCAGAGACTCTAAAGATGCTAAGTTTGAGAGGAAGTCGTGAGGTGGAGCTGAAGAAGAGAGGTTCACATGTGATAGATGGAGATGCTTCAAGTTGCTCATGTGTTGAACTAGTCCTTTCAGACTGCAAAGTTCCAAATCAGGATTGAAAGATAGATCGAGGGAAACAATAGTTGCGATATTGGAGAGGTGTTGTATTGGGATTTGGCCATAAAAGTTGGAACTGGTAAGGTTGAGATGGGTGAGACGGGAGAGGTTTCCGACTGCAGAGGGGATGTGAGAAGAGTTGAAGTCATTGTAGGAGAGGTCCAGCCTCTGGAGGTGAGTGAGGGTAAAGAGGGAGCTGCTGGAGTTTATGGAACCCAAGAGGCAACTGCCACTGAGGTCTAAGCCGACGACATGGTGGTGATCACACTCCACACCCTCCCACGAGCAGCAGTCGCCCCCTTCTTTCCATGATTCCAGTTTTGGTTTTGGATCGTCAACCCAAGGGCAATCACATTGATTGATGCTGAGAAGGCTGTGCTTGAATTGGAACAAGGTAGCCTTCTCTTCATCGTGGCATTGTCTCGCCTTCTCCAAAGACGGCACAGAGTGTGCCTGCAGCCCCACCACCACCATTGAATAATGAGACGGCGATGAAGAAAACAACAGCACCAACACCGCCATGTATAGGTGAAATATTATTGATATTATTGAAGACTCCATCTCTATGTATGGTTTTAAACTCCTCTTTTTTATATGAGATAATAATACAGTACAAGCTAAGTGATAGAATAAGGCTCTGATATATATATACCCACGCAAAATGCACTAAGTACCTCTTTTTCTACTTAAACTTTTAGACTAGTCAAACTTTCACTACAAGCTAAGTGATATAATAAGGCTCTGATAAATATACCCTCATTCTGGCCCGCGCCGTCGCCCCCTCATTCTGGCCCGATAGAATTGTGAGGAGTTAAATCATGTTATAATTTTAGTTTGATTCTTAGAGAGGTCATCCTATATCCGATGTGCACAAGAAGCTATTATAACTTTTTCTTCATTTTATATGACGAGGGGAAGAAAACTAGTCAATTACAAACTCTTCATCTTCCCCTAGTGTATTCATTTTGATGGAAAAATAGTTAAACTATTAGGCTAAAATATGTTCTTTATATCTAAAATGGGGCCCTCAATGTTTTAATATCAAAATGATTTATACCGTCAAAGTATATGTTGATTTATAATCTTAAAAAAAACTAGAAATTATCAATATGCAATATCAAATTATGGCATTTCATGGAGATAAAAACATAAGGGGTGTAGTGAAACAATCATTTAAATAAAGAAAGACGAGTCAAATATATATTCCGTCCGTTTCTGAGTATTTTGTCCACTTTTGATTTTTTCGGTCAAAATTGGTAAATTTTGACCTCAAATTAAATGAAAATGGTATTAAATATTGATACAAAAACAATTTTATTAGATTTGTTATATCAAATATTTTCTAGTATTATTTTATCTAATTAATATTATATATATATATAAATATAAAATCTAAGGCCAAATAGCTCCGATGTCCCCTGTGGTTTGGAAAATTGGCACCAATACCCCCTCTATTTTCAAAACTTACTTCTAAAGTCCTCATGGTTTCAAAATGCTACACTCGTGCCCCCTCTGATCATTTTCCGACCATTTTCCGGCGAAAACGAGGCATTTGCGCATAATTTTTAAACCATAGGGGGCATTCGTGCTCATTTTTTATTTTTCGTTTATTATTTGTGTTTTTCTTTTTTTAAATATTTTCTATCTCTTTTTTCTTTTCCTAGGTTTTTTTCTAATTTATTTTCAATTTTTTATAATGTTTTAAAATTTTAAAATTTTTTGTGTTTGAAATAAAAATAAAAATAAAACAATTAACATACATTGCATCTATTTGAAATTAAACATTTTCACTTTTTGTTACGTACTTATTTGGAAAGTTCAAAAAAACCTAGAATAAAAAAATAAAAATATGGAAAAATAAAATGAAAAATAAAAATACACAAAAAAAGTCTGATACAAAAAAATGGACAAGCCTAAAAAAGTCCCTAGAATTGAGATGTTCGAAAAAGATATTCATTTTTATTTTTGTATTATTTTGTTTCTTATTTTATTCCTCATTTTTTGAAATTCTCAAAAAAAAGTTTACTTTTTTCAGAAAAAACAAAAGTTGTTGATTTGAGAAGTACATATACATTATATGTTAATTTTTTCAAAAAAAAATAACTTTAAATTTTATGAACATTATAAAAATAATTTTAAAAAACCTTTATTAATAAAAAACAAATAAAGGAAAAAATGGAAAAAACAAAAAAATAAGCGAGAAATAAATATCAGCACTGATACCCCCCGTAGTTTAGTAAATATGCAGCAATGCCCCCCTTCTTCGCCGGAAAAAATGGCCGGAAAATGATCAGGGGGGCACGGGTGCAGCATTTTGAAACCACAAGGACTTTAGAAATAAGTTTTAGTGCCTATTTTGCAAACCACGGGGGTACTGGCGCTATTTGGCCTAAAATCTAATTATAGATCAAATTTAAAAATGGCTTATCGAAAAAAGTTGGACAAATACTCAGGAAACAATCACATGGTCGTGTTGCCTCTTCAACTGGTGCGTGTGAATTGTCTCGATTTCTAGCTCTCTTTCTTTGGCTTCCTTCTAGCTATATTTATAAAATTTGAACAAATTAATACTCATTCTCTCTTAAAATAATGATTTATATTATTACTATTAGTCTATTAATCTATTATGGTTCTCAATTAATTTGTTTTCATATCTTCGTTTATTATTTGAAAAATAAAATATTCTTATTACTATTTGTTTTCGTAAATTATCATTCGAGTTTGAAGCTCTAAACCCAAAACTGAAATGATCATTCCTCTCTCAATTATTAGTGTTCCTGGTGTAGCCTAAAATCAAAACCAATAAGCTTTATGGATGAGTTTTATCGGTTAGTCTCAAGAAATTGCAAAGAAAATAAACATTAAAACTTATTCCTGAAGGTTACTGGTTTCGAATTTGGGTTCCACCAGTTAGATAAACAATTGAGAGATGAGTGATGATTTCGGTTTTGGGTTCAAAGCTTCAAACTCAACGACGAGTTTGGGAAAGGAGTGCGAGGCAAGGGATGAAGTTTAATTGAGGAGAGAAAAGAATGTGAATTTATAATTTTATCCACGTTCTTAACGGAAATGTTAACAAATGACCATTCGTGGAAATGAATATAATAATTGGAGACTAAATTAGTAATATTTGATATGTAGGGACTAAATATGTAAAACGACCTATAACTGAAGACCTTTTATGAAATTTACTCAAAAAATTAATAAAACACCCATCAATTGTATTAAAAGGCCTATTATTTATTCATTTTGATTACTAGCTCTATTTTAATGTAATATTTATTCATATATTCTTAACTCATTAAGTACGTAGAGTTATTACTCTCACGGGAGATCGAACTTGTAACTTCCAATATGAAAGAGTTATCATCATGTTGTTGGATTACAAGATTTATTATTTGAGTTTTTTAATATGAGAATGACCAATATTTTTCAAGTGAATATCATGTTAAACATAAAATTTTGGTACGAGAGTAAATCCAAAAAGATTTTTCTAACCTTCACTATCGACTTATCGAGTCAACCATTAGTTAAACAAAAGGGGCCAAAAGACTAGCAAATACTTGGAAGTCTCTCGTTGACTTGAGTCAATGCCTGACTTTTGACCAGTGATGGTCCCGAAGTGTTTTGTTGACAATTTTGATGTTGAAAATTACTACATCCGTCCCTGAGTGTTTGTCCAGTTTTGACTTTTGGAACTATTCATCTAAGCACTTTGACTCATCAAATTCTCTCAATGTGTAAGCCTAAAAATAGTCATGTGTGATCTTGTTTGATTCGTCTTAACATATAGATTATTAATATATAATTTTTATAATTTTTTAATATACAAATTACAAGATAAAATGGATTAAAGAAGTGCATTGGATGGTGTGCCAAAAGGTAAGTGGACAAAGACAGTAGGACGGAGGGAGTATATACTTATATAAATTCTTTTTATCTCATAATCTTCGCCTAATGGAACAAATTTAGAATATCAAATAAAATTGTTTTTTATTTCAAAAATTATGTACTTCAATATGAAAAATAATATGATAAAATAATGTTTTTGTAATATTAATTACTCTATTCTTGTAGGATCAAATTAGATTGTTATTGGAGAATGTTATAATATTATTTTTTTCTTATTACTCCTCTTTAGACTTTGTTTCTTTTGGGTTGAAATTTCAAAATTTGATGTTAGAAGACACTGGAAGAAGTTGGAAATAATTAAAAGAGTGAGAAAATGTTGGAATAATTTAAGTGTTAAAAAGTCACTCAATTAAATGAATACCCAAATAAATATATGTAAGAAAACTCTAATTTTGGATTAAAAAAGCAATTTATCATTGTCCATGTTTGAGGTGGTATGTCATAAATTTAGTTTTATAACGTTATTCTATATATCTCGTTCTATGACATTGTTGGAAGGATTGGAAATAGTTGAAAAAATTTAAAAGTTAATTTTTCCAACTCAAAATAACATGACCTTAGTGTATAGACTTTATTTTTTAAATGGTTTTAAAAGATATCGTATTGTTATGGCAATTTTTTTTAAAAAAATCATATTTAAATTATTTACATCATTTATAATATTGTTGTATATATGATATATCTAAAATTCATAAAAGTTAAAAGAATTGATAATTTTAACATAAACTTTGATGTTTTGTTTTTTGTTTTTTTGAGACAAATTTATTGTCTAATACATCAAAATGCAATGCAAACGTGCAACAAGATGTGTCGCTAACCATTTTTTCAATGTAAAATAAAAGGGCTGATATGAATTTTTAAGTGTTAAAAAATGAAGCTCATAACCCGTTGGGCTGACCCAAATGTGAGGATGATAAATCATGAACATTCAGGTCATGTTCTCTTCACCTTATTTGAATGGTTTCTCATCTAATTGGAATAAGTTCTTATTTGATCTGACTTAATATGGTCTGATTTGAATGTATTTATATATAAAACCATTTCTGACCTAATCTGATCTAATTCCAAAAAAAATAAGTTAAAGAAAACATAGTCTTAGTTCCAAATTCGAACTAGAACTTTCTCAAACACGATCTTAGCCGAAATCCCCTCATAAAATCAAGTTTTATACTATACGGTGTATGATTTATGATTTAAGAAGAAAGCAAAAAGAAGAACATATCACTACAAGGAGAATTTACCTAGATATGACTAAAACATAATGATTTTCTCAATATAGGATCATACGTAGTATATTTTTGTTTTCTAATTTAGAACTATTGGTCATTATTCATTAGTCATTATTCAGGTAAATATACATCATCACTGGATATTATTCCTCTCATTAGGCATTATTAAGTACTACTTAAGGAATAAAAAAGTTCAATTCCTACATTTGAAAATGACTTATGTTATAATTCTATTTGGTGCAAATCTCACCAATGGCTAATTCAATTCTAGGATTCAATGCCAAATAAAAACTGCAGAGAGTATATGTTTGTATGAAGCTCCATCCAACCATCATCTACGTACAATTGACAGAAAAAAAAAACACATAAAATTCCAAAAGTAACAATTTAATGCAAAGTGACAACATAGGAAGATATTGCTCAAATGAAAACAAGATAATGTCCTAAGATTGGGACATAATAATTTAGATTGTTCGACAAACATGAATTTAATACAAAAAAATTAAATACCATTATAGGATTATGAAGTTCCAATTCTGCTAGATAAACTGTTTAGGGCACTCATTTAAGCACAATATTGGAAGAAAATGAGAAGATGGTGAGAATAAACAAAATGACTCATTTGCCCATGAATGGCGCCATTTTTAGTAGTCAATCATTAAAGGAAAAAGAAAAGAAAATGAAAAGGAAAACATATTTCTTGTTTGGTTAGACAGGAAAAGAAAAAGAGAAGGCAAAATGTATTAAGAGGATGGAAAATCAAACTCCTCCCATTTTGGTGAGAAATTAACTGAGGAAAAACCATTTTATTTTCGTCTTCTTCCAAATTCCTTGAACCAAGCATAGTGTTAATTTTCTCTTTATGTTTCAAACACAACTTAGAATGCTTATAGCAGGCTTCTCCTCGATCTCACGCGCACCATCTATCGCCGTTTTCTTGCAAAAGTCTTGACAAACCAATCGTGTTTTCTTGTAGCCAACTCGTTCTCGCCAACCACTCTAACAACCGAACCACATACGAATCCCATCGAATGCATCCTCCGTTTCATTTATAAGTAATATTCTGAGTCGTCTTCATCCTCATTTTCATCATCATTGTCGTCACCATTTGTAACGGATGGAGCCTGCAAAGACATCTCATTTCGACATTTCTCGCTCCAAGGATCAATGTAAAGTCCGGGATTCCCTTCATATGAGTTGCAGTCCGTGTGGTATAGGGCCAGAAAGATTGTTAAATGACACATCAAATGAGGTGAGATATGTGAGTTTTGTGATCTCTGTAGGAATATAGCCTTGCAATTTATTAGAGGAAAGGTTCAACTTCTGAATTTGGTGATTAAAACTGGATGGAATTTCACCGGTAAATATATATATTTGAACTCTGGGGATCGGACCAGTAAGTCGATTATACTGCACATCTTGTTCATCACACTCCACACCCTCCCACGAGCAACAATGACGATCAAGAAAAACTGAATGATAGGGAGTACCAAATTAAACTTTCCATTTCATTTCTTTTTTTTTCACCGAGTTTAAGAAAAATTGAATATTGTTTTGAGATTAATGCAAAACAGATTGAAAAATACGTTCCTTAAATACTACATGAATCAACAAATGGCACAATTGTTTTGGGAGAAACAAATAAAAGCCAAAGAGTTTATTTATTACTCTCTTTATAATATAAAATACAATAATGCATAATCATCTATTTCTCTTTCAACTTCAAACACAATTGAGAATGCTTACGTTTCTCATCTCATGCATACCCTCTCCGTTTTCTTGCAAAAATCTTGAGGAACCAATAGTGTTTTCCAACAGTTAGCTCGTTCCCAAGGATAACTCCAGTAACGAAACCACCTGTGAATCCAATCGAAACTATCATCCATTTTATTTTAAAGTTAAATTTTGAATCATCGTCGTCATCATCATCATCATCTCTATCATCAACATCTCTATCATCAACATCACTAGTCTTCTTCCATAATGGATGGAGCATCAGGCGCCTGCACTTGTGAAAAAGACATCGCAACTTCACACTGCTTAATTACTCCAAGTTTCAATGGACAATCCTGGATTCCCAACAAATGATTTTGAGTCGTACTTACAGAACTGGTTTCCATGTGGTATAGGGCCAGAAAGATTGTTAAATGACACATCAAATGAGTGCAGATATTTGAGCTTTGTGAGCTCTGTAGGAATATAGCCTTGCAGATAATTAGACGAAAGGTCCAACTTATGAATTTGGAGAGTAAAAGTGGATGGGATTTGACCGGTAAGTATATTGTAAGACAAGTCAATAGAATCGAGCTGTGGGAGCTTCATAAGGCCAGATGGGATCGAACCAGTAAGTCAATTATACTGCATATCTAGCTCAGTAAGTCGAGTGAGGTTCATGAGCCAAGACGGGATCCCGCCCTTTAATTTATAATTATAAATTATAAATTGAAATTTTAAAAATTAAAGTTTTAAAAATTGGAATTTAAGAATTAAAACTTTAAAATTAAAAATTTAAAACTAAGACTTAAAGATTCCATAAGCACATCCTACCAACGAAACCAACTAAACTCATACTAATGATAAATAACTAAAAGCCCGAAATACAATTCTTTATAAATAATTTTGTACCGCCAAGTAAAAGATGTAAAGTATAATTCTATATCAATTCTTTAATTATACCAATTAAAGAATTTGAAATTGAATTTTAATTTCATCCCATTCAATTCTATAGAATTTTAATTTGCTTCTTATTGTAGAGGGGCAATGTAAATAGAATATCCCTAGTATTTGTTCTTCTTCTTTGTATTTGGTTATAGGGAGAAGAAGGACAAACCAAATAGGTGAAATGGAAGCCCAGACAAATGTATTCCCATATTGACGAATTAGAGACACATGTATGTTGGTTGGGTGGGTCATCCATCTCCGATTTCTTATTCGATGTTTCATTATCAGTAAAATAGTTCCAATGTGGGAATGGAAGCGGATGGCAGCTCTTTTGGTCTCTCCATCTGAATTCTGAACAGAGGTAATTGTTTTAGGGAGATGTCTTTTTTTGTGCATATAATCAAACAAAATCTTTGAGAAATTGTGATTCTTTGTGTTAAAACTGATGTTCTTGACACATAATCTTATGACTTGATCTATGTTTCGTCATAATTGCTTCAGATTTAGGCAACAATTTTCTGAATTCATGGGCAATAATTTATTGATATTTAAGATTGAATTGTTGCTTATAGCTTACTGGGTTTGAATCTTCATTAGTGGCAAATAAAAACTGCAGAGATTATATATTTCTTCAAAATCCTATCCAACCACACATAATCAGTCCATAGATGAGCAATCTAAATGGTTCAGAATGTTACCAAAAGAAAGAAATAAAGAAGGCATAGCCTAAGAACATTTAAGAAGAAAATGAGAAGATGGTGAGAAATAGAGAATAAAGGAGACTCATTTTTAAAACAGTCTCAATCCTGCCAAAACTCAATGGGAAACCTCTGAATTGCAGAAGAGTTTGAGTAGTCATAGTAAGCACACCAGCTCTGCTGAATAAATTGTTTAAAGCACTCCTTCGAGTAACAAGATGAAGGAAAAAAAAAGCAAACTGAAAAATAGACAAAAGAACATATATATAGGAAGAAAACAATCTGACTCAATTCCACATCAGAATCTCTTATGGGCAGCATCATTATACATTAGCCCTCAACTCACTTTTTAAGTTGACATTGTTTAGTCCATATGAATGATTTTTGTTTTCTAACATCATTCATGGGCAGAAACACAATGCTTATCAAGCAAACAAAAAAAACTATTATTTTCCGACATAGATCGATTCGCTTCACTTGATAATGATAAAACACATTATTACACAGATAGTAACATAACCATTTATTTCTCTTTCAGCTCCAAACACAACTGAGAAAGCTTTGTATGCATACATGCTTCTCCTCTCACGCATACCATCTCTGTGTCCTTGAGAAAGTCTTCACAAACCAATAGTGTTTTCTCGTAATCAACTCGTTCCCAACAATCACTCCATCAACCAAACCACTAACGAATCCAATCGATATTATCATCCACTTTATTGTAGAGTCATCGTCGTCATCATCATCCTCTGTAGGGGATGGAGGCTGCTGCATTTGAGGCAAAGACCTTGCATTTCCACACTGCTTATTCCAAGTTTCAACGAACAATCCAGGATTCCCTTCATATGATTTGGAGTCAAAGGTACAGAACTGGTTTCCTTGTGGTATGGGGCCAGAGAGATTGTTATACGACACGTCAAATGCCGAAAGAGATGTGAGTTTTGTGAGCTCCATTGGAATGCTTCCTGAGAGTCGGTTTCTTGAGAGATCCAAAGATTCTAAATTTTTCATGTTGGAGAAAGATGGTATGTAATCAATGAGATAGTTTCTAGAAAGATTTAGCATTTGAAGTCCTACTAGATCTCCATACACATCTGGAATCTGCCCTTCAAAGTTGTTGGAGGAGAAGTCTATGGTACAAAGAGTATGTAGAATCTTCATATAGTTCATTTCCAAACCTTTGTTATGCAAGATAATTGAGTATTCAAATTCACCAAAGTCTTCTTCACCCCATGCAGTAGTCGGATCCAAGGCTAACTCCATGTATTCCATTGTGTGACTTGTATTTAAGGCTCGCATGGGCTTCGAGATGTTAATGAACTTTGATGGCAACTTCCCTTTGAATCTGTTGTTGGATAAGTCAATGACTCTAAGGTTTGAGGATCCAAAATCATAGTTAAGTTCACCATGAAATTGGTTAGATTGCAGCTTAAGGACGCTCAACATTGCAAGTCTTCCCGACCAAAAAGGAAAAGTATCTCTTATTTGGTTGTTGCCAAAATCAACAAACTCCAACTGTGAACAATTGGTCAATGATCTGGGTAACTGTCCTTGTAACTGATTGTAACTCATATCTATCATTCTCAGTTGACATCCATTTCTCCACATTGACGGAATATTTCCATCAAACTTGTTTCCTCTCACATCCAGTATTAAAAGGTTATTGCTAAAACTACTCAAACATTGAGGAAGGTTTCCACTCAAACTATTGAACGCCAAATCAAGATGCACAAGGAATATGAAATTGCACATGAGACTTGAAAGTTCTCCAAACAAACTGTTGTTTGAAATTAGATAGGATGAAAATGTGGAAGTGGTGGAAGGTGGTGGAATTGGGAGAGAACCTTGTAACAAATTATGTCTAAAGTCTAAAGCTCTTATTTTAACCCGAGGATGAAAGAGAGAATGTTCCCTTTCAAAACCAGTTAAAAGGTTATAAGAGAGGTTCAAATAGAGACCCATTTTAGAATTTTGACCGAGATCAAAAATCCACGGAGGAATTTGACCCTTGAGACGGTTATTCGAAAGATCAAGACATTCCAATATATTTCTGTTGTTTTGCAAGAATGTAGGAAATTCAGATATATTACATGAAGCCAATTCTAAAAACATTAATCTTGGAAAGTAGTCATTTGTTGAACTAATATTTTTTAGGCTCAATGACAAGTTATTATATGACAATTTTAATTCATTTAAAATTTTGAGGTGAGAGAACAAGCTTAGATCCACCGAGCCAAACAATCTATTATGATGCAGTGAGAGAGTATAAAGGTTACGGAGAGTGGATAGATTTGTAGGAATAGAACCTTCCAAATTATTATAGGAAAGATCCAATGTGTCTATTAGGTGATTAAAATTTGGTGGGATATGGCCACTTAGTTGATTGTGAGACAAGTGAATGGAATTGAGTTGAGGGAGGGTCATGATCCAAGATGGGATGGGACCACTAAGTCGGTTATGAGACATATATAGATCAGTAAGTCGAGTGAGGTTCATGAGCGAAGAAGGTATCTTACCCGTCAAGCCCAAACCTTGAAGGGACAAATCAGTGAGCTTGGTGAGCTTACCAATCCACGACAATGAAGAAGTATTGAGAGTATCCGGGGTGAAGTGATTAGCACCCCAAATGCTCAAAGAAACCAGTCGGGTAAGATTACCGAGTGACATCAGGTCCCCTGTATTGCTAATGTCCATGTCTAGTTCTTTCAAAGATGTGAGATTCCCAATGGAGGGAGGCAACACTCCCTCAAAACTTGTTCCGAAGAAACTTAATGTCTGAAGAGGACTCCCGGAACGGAAGTTAGGCAAATAGCCTCTGAGGTTTGCATTGCCAGCTAGCATAAGCATCTTGAGCTTCGGGAGATCGAAAATGGCCATGGGAAACTCACCATTCAGCTCACAGTCATAAAGATCTAGAGATTCTAATGATGAGAGATTGGAGAGGAGGTGAGGTACGCCTGAAGAAGAGAGGTTGATGTATGATAGATGGAGATGCTTCAAGTTGGTCATGTGTTGAACTAGTCCTTTCAGACTATGCAGTTCCAATCCGGAATATGAAGACAGATCAAGGGAAACCATAGTTGTGATATTGGAGAGGTGTTGTTGTGGGATTTGGCCTGAAAAGTTGGTTTCGGTAAGGTTGAGATGAGTGAGACGGGAGAGGTTTCCGACTGCAGAGGGTATGTGAGAATAGTTGAAGTCATTGTAGGAGAGGTCCAACCTCTGGAGGTGGGTTAGGGTAAAGAGTGCATTGCTGGAGTTTATGGAACCATAAAGGCAACTGCCACTGAGGTCTAATCCGACGACATGATAATGATCAGTTTGTTCATCACACTCCACGCCCTCCCAGGAGCAGCAGTCGCCCCCTTCTTTCCATGATTCCAGTTTTGGTTTTGGATGAACACCAATATGGCATTGGTTGGTGCTGGCAAAGCTGTGCTTGAATTGGAGCAAAGCGGCCTTCTCTTCATCGTGGCATCGTCGTCTCGTCTTCTCCAAAGACGAATAATGAAATGAGGATGAAGAAACCAACACCACCAGCACCACTTGTATGTATAGGTGAAATATTATTGATATTATTGAAGACTCCATATCTGTGTTTATGTATGTTTGTTTGTTTTATGATATGATAATACGAGCTTATTGAGTTTGGTGCTCTAATTTATATTCCCACACAAAATGCACTCAGTACTTCTTTTTCTACTTAAACTTTTAGCAGTGAAAATGAAGGAGAACTTAGACTAGTCAAAGTTTTACTATTGTTGATGTGTTTGAAATGGGGGAATGAAAGAGCCCCTCCCCTCTTCTTCGGTGCCGTGTGAACTGTGATGCCCATTCGGGCCATTTCCCATCTTTTTCCTTCATGTCTTTTACGAGTATTTATTCATTTATTCCTGTTACCACTTTATTTACCGTATGTTTGGCTCAAAGAATTAGGAAAGAAAAGAAAATGAGTTTCTCTCATTTTCCTCACAAAAATGAGAGAAATTTGGTTTTCCATTCCCTTAGTAATATTTGTCTTCTTATTTTCTTTTCTTTTTCCTTTTCTTTTTTTTCTCTCTAACCAAACAAGAAAAATTATTTTTCATTCCATTTTCTTTTCATTTTTTTGAACCAAACATACTGTTAATAGTTTTTTATTTCTTAAAAAAAGTACACCGCCCGTCCCGATCGCCCCCACACGAAGATTTATTTTCCGTCTTAATTTCTTTTTTTCCCTTTTAAATTCCTTGAACTAAACATAGTGCTTATTCATTTCGATGGAAAAAATACTTAAATTATAAGGCTAAAATATGTTCTTTATATCTAAAATAGTGTCTTCAATGTTTTAGTATCAAAATGACTTAAATTATCAAAAAAAACATAAAAAATAAAATATCAAGATCAAATATCAAATTGTGAAATTTCATGGAGATAAAAACATAAACAATCATTAGAGTGGAGAAAGACGAGTGAAACATACCTTTCAAATGGGAAAGCATGGCCGTGTTGCTTATTGGATCGGTGCGTGTGAATTGTAATGGACGATTCCAATTCTTTGAGATCTCTTTGGTCTCAACTTTCAACCTCTCTTGGTCTCTTCTTTCACTTCTCCCTAAATTTATGTTCCTTCTGTCTAAAAATTACTTTCTCGTTCACTATTTACATGATCTAACTTTATTGGCTTATTTTCATTACTCATTAGATAAAATAATATAATCATGTACTTCGAGTTTTGTAAATTTTGTAATGTAATTTTTTAATATGTAATTTTTATTTTATAATTTTATACCATTTTTCGTATAAAATAATTTGAAAATAACTTTAGTCAAACACGTAACGTGCAATTGGAAGATAATTTTTTGACGAAAGGAGTAAAATTTGAACAAACTAATTAATACTCCTCCCTCTCTCTCTCATGTTTTTATTTATTATTTGATAAAATAAAATATTATTATTTATCATTTGTTTTGTTTTACAAAATCTTTTTAGTTTGTAAATTTTTTCCTTTCTTTATGTGGTCGGAAGGTAATATTATTCTTCTTAAAATAATGTGTATATATCAAAATTATTACTCGGGTATATGCGAAGTAATTTTTTAATACTAGTAACTCTATAATAGTGGAGTATACGTTCACTCATTGTTTCTCAACTTATCCGCTAGGATTCACACCTTAGAGATAGTCCTTCTATCACTGAAACCAAGAGAGAAACTCAATTACTATATTATTATATCGGTGGGGTTCTAGTGACACCAGAGTTCGGTGCCACTAACGGTGCCACTGAGTTTTTGGAGCACCTCCGGTCCGTTCGCAAAATTGACGATTCCTATCCCCCTAACCCACCCCCTAAAACCCCACCCTACCCCCGCCCCTGCACCCCCACCCCGTTGCATAATAGCCACACATTTTGTGAGGGCCTTACGGCGGAGTTGACTCCATAGTCAATAGTCACCCTTTTTCAACATAAATAAGAGTGGTGAGAACAAGCTATGCACAATATGCCCAAAGATTAAATTCCCCCATAATATAGGTGTTTTGCACCATAAATAACACACACACAAACACTCACACACAAATATCTATCATCCATATAGAAAAAAGCAAGAAGAGCAAACAAAAAAGTAGATTATGAGATGTGTGCTGATCCAAATTTGCAACAATCTTGCAACAATTAAATGGTTGCCCAACTTTAATTACTACGTCACGCAAAATGGTTTCCCAACAATTAAATGGTTGCCCAACTTTAAATTCGCAACAATCTAGCAATAATCAAGGGCATGTATCAATAAAGTCAACCTATGGAAATGACATAATGGAAGAACAGTCAGATCAAAAGTAGAGCGTTAACATTGGAATCGTTTATGAGATACCAAACCAAAAGGCGTCGCATGCAAATCATAAGGTGTGGGCAGTGTGGGTTAGAATCTCTAAGGATGTGATTCAAAGTGGTCCTGTGCTTCTAATAGTGGATCATCAGCTTTCACCATAACAGCATGATTCGTAGACATATGAACTGCAGTGTCCCGAACTTGATCCGGCAACAAACTAAATAGATCAATACTGCAACCTTGACAAATCAATCTCGACCCACAGCAAGGTTTGCAGATCTCAGTCTTCTTATATCTTCCATCCTTAAAAGGTCTCCACCGAAACCTTGTGAAAGGTCGCACGCATGTTTTGCAAAAGTAATCATAAGGTGCCTGCAACCGAAAACAGGAACCTATTTCAGCACTTTTTTTGACCCAAGACATGGTTATGCAGGTTACAAAGAAAAAAAGACTCAACCTTGCAATATGATTGGCTCTGATGTTTTGAAATTAATCATCTTATCAACATGATTACATAATTAGAAAGTTCTAGTTGTACTTTTTCCACTAAGCAAGCAAGTGATCAACTATTGATTATAACCTTGTTGAAACTTTCTTAGTATTATATGATAGGCGCGTGAGGTGTGCCTGTGTGAGTGTATATCTCTGCTATTGTCTTCATTTTAGGTTTAAAAAAAGTAGGGGTGGTTTGGGTTTTTTGATGCATTCCCTTAGCCTATATGTGCTTTGGCTCTGCTCGACCAGTCGGAGGCCAATGAGGTAGGTGTACCCCGATTTTTGTGGGTCCGGAGTCCACTCCTTCTAGAAGCCCAAACAAACCTCATTAGTCATTAAGTTGTGTGATAAGCTATTATAGTGCCCAAACAAACCTCATCAAGTTCTGTTATACACAAGTGATCAAAGATTAATCAATCAAAATGCATGGTTCCATCCATTGTTTGATCTAATGTTTATACGGAGTATTATTGTGGGCAAATCAAATCAACCAAGCAATAATTCCATCATCTGCAATTGGATTTTTAATAGTGTGAATGAAACAGAAACAATCCAGCCAAGTATCACATCACAGTTCACACAATGTTGCCTATGAGCTTTGATGCCATGTAGAACTATGTGCAAACCAAACTGCCTTTGTTACTAACAAAACCAAGTATTCATGCAGGTATACAACAAAAACCTAATTCCAAACGGATTAGGCCAAATCACAAAGCCCATAAAAAAGCCCATTACAATAATATAGGCTAACATCTAATCTTTCTATGCTATCTCTTTCATGCAAAAGGTCGTAACACAAAACTATGTGGATTGGCATAAGTCCCAAGAGGACCCTCTCCAGACATAATTGGCTCTGATGTGGATTGGCAAAACTGACACAGGAAAGGCTTTTTATATTCAAACACGATAACAAAATTGGAGAGATTGCATACCTCAGTGACACGGGGATTGTCTCCGAAGCAGATTTCGCAGAGTATGGGGTGATTAGATCTTAAACAACTCTGGGCAATGGAATCTCTTAATCGCAGCTGATGTTCCATAGCTTTTTTGCCCTATACAACACCGAATTGGATGACGAACGGTAAAAAAATCATCTTAAAAAACCATAAACATCCATAAAATATGTGTATGAGGGAGGGGGAGACATACTTCGGTAGCGGAGAAGGGAGGCGCACGGCGGTGAGGAAACAGCAAACACAATACGAAGGAGAGATAAAAGTAGAGGTGGGATCGGGCCGATCTTCATATTTATAATAAAGGGGCCGAGAGGCGGCGGGTTATTGAAAAATATATTCTCTACTAGTCCTACCCCAATTTGATTACAAATTGTGGGTTACGGAACAAAATTTCCTACTTTTTGAAATCATTTTATTTACAAATTGGTATATCAATAAGATATAAATTACATATTAAAAAATTACGTCAAAAGTTCTACAAAATAAGAGGTGACAATAATATTTTATTTTATCAAATATTTAATGAAATCATATAAACAAACAAAAGTTATCAAGAGGAGAAAAAAAAAATTGTAATCTATTTAGGGACGGAGGGAGTGTTTGGAAGTTGGAACCAACGCTATCGGGCTTGTTTCAAACATTTCGGCTAGGTTTGGCATCAGCGTCAGAGATTAGTGTAAGTGTTTTGAAAAAGCTATCTGACGGTAGCCTTTAGTGTTAGTGTTTTAAGAATTAATCTGCACCATTAAAATTTTATCCAAAATGCTAACGTTAATCGAAAACGCTGTTACCAAACAAAGTCCGATTTTGAGGATCCGCGAGTGCGTGAGTTTTTTCTATTAAATTAAGATTTTAATATACATCAAATAAAATTAAACAATGAGTATTAGTATAGTCACTAGAATAATACATTTTTTAAAATTAATCCATGGTTTTCATAAATAAAATAAAAATAAAAGACTAATATTACTCCGTAAAATAAAAATAAAAGACTAGTATTACTCTGTAAAAAAAATAAAAATAAAAAAACTAATATTACTCTGTAATGCAATTTGAATGAATATTAGTATGGTTTTATATATATAATTTTATTATTATTAGAATATTGAATATATCATATAGAACTTATTTATTACTCCGTAATGCAATTTGATGAAAAGACTAATATACAATTTGAAAATATTTTAAATTATTTAGTACTTTTTGTATTTAGAATTTATTAAGTTATAGTAAACGAGCCAATCTGAGTCTTCTTGTTTCTAAATATTAAGAACCGGCCTGACTTTTCTGTCTAGTGGACCCACCGCGGCTCGGCTTGTTCTTCAATATAAAACTTTGGATCAGGCCCTAAGGGTGTGACAAAAGTGTTGAGGGTGCGTAGGGACAGTGCGAAGAGAAGATAAATTTTTGTCTTCGAATTATAACAAAATTATTTTCTTCTTATTGAAAGAAAATATTTTATGCGTAAAATATGTTTTTAAGACTATGTTATCAATCACAAAAAAAATAGATCTAAACACACCCTTTATTTTGATTTTTTATTTTAAAAAATGAATGACATGTGATGGTGTAAATTACTTGACTGGTCAAACTATCCTAGACCGGGTCTAGAATAGTTGGGTTGATTTTGTAAAGTAAGAAGAGTAAAAACACATAGAATGACCGGTAGGACTTTGGGTTGATTATGTCCGATTATGTGTTTATGATTGTGAGATTCCACTTTTTTCAAAAAATACTCAAAGGGTATCTAAAAATTGATGTAAGTGATTGTCTAAGCCAGTTCTGTCAAACCTATAGTATCTGTCTATTTCTATTTCTTCAAACTCATTATAAGCTAAATTCTTCTTCTTCTTCTTCAAAAACTTACAAAAATCAATACCATTTCAAAAACCTCTGAAGTCTCACATTATTGGAAATATACGCCGGGGCTCCCTCGATTTTCCGGTAAAAACTCTCAGGTCCCACATTATTTGAAATATACTACTAGGGTCTTTAAAATTAATGGTAATGTACTTCTTGGGTACATTCCGTCTATTTGACCGTTAGGATTAATAGTTTTGATACTTTGACAAATACAAAATTTTACCTTCATAATCATTATTTTATTAAATTTAAATAAAATCTTTCAATTTATCAATTTAAAAGACCTTTCTATTTTAACGCATATTTGACAAAATGTACATTCGAAATATGATATCACAAATCGTAAGGACATCAAAATATATTCTGAATAATGTGAAATCTAAGAATTCTTGCCAGAAAATTGAAGATACTCAAAAATATAATTTTAAATAATGTCTAATTTGAGTGTCATTATTTGAAAATTGGAGTAATTTTCTGAATCATTTTTTGTTTTACTCCCTCCGTCCTATAATGATCTTCCCGGTTTATTTTACGAAGTTTGACCGACTTTATTTTCAATTCAATTTATTTGATTGTAGGTGTAAAATTAAAAAATAAAAATTATACGTAGTATATTTAAAAACTACATCAAAAGTTCTACAAAATAAGTAGTGACAAGACTATATTATTTTATCAAATACCTAATGAAAATAGGTAAAGAAAGTGATTAAAGTTTGACCTTATAAAAAAAGTGGATGGGAAGAACATATGACCTAGGACTATTTGTTACCCAATTTTTACTCGACACTACTCCGTATTTGTTCTTGCTCTACCCGTCTTCTCAGATTCAACCGGGGACATGTCTCGCGCTGATCTGTCAACCCACGACTGAACTGCGACCGCCGTCGCGTTTCCCTCCTTGTCTTCCCGCTCGAATTCCTCCCAATCCAGCTCCAATGTCGATTCCGCAGCGCGAATCATGGGACTGTATGATCCCAGGCCCACCTTCACGCAGCAATGGCGGATCCGCGGACCTCTCCACCACCGGACTCCTGGCGTTTGCATCCGGAAGCTCCGTCGTCGTCGTCGAAACTCACTCCATGCAGCTCGTCACTGCCATACCGCTTCCGCCGCCTCCGTCTCCGTCTTCCGCCGCTCTCTCCCCCTTCATCACTTCCGTCAGGTGGTCCCCTCACCCGCTGCCTCACATTCTCCTGTCCTCCGACGCGCCCAATCAGCATCTCGTTCTTTCCGTCGGAGATCGGCAGGGCCGTATTTGCCTCCTTGATTTGCGATCGAGAGCTCCTCTCATGTTCTTCGACACTTCTAGCAACTCTACTCAGAAACTGGGAATTCAGGATCTCTGCTGGATCCAAACCGGGCTTGATTCGTGGGCCATTGCTGCTCTTTCCGGACCTTCTCTTTTGAGCATCTACAGCACATCATCTGGTCGTTGCTTCTTCAAATACGATGCTTCTCCGGAGCACTTCTCATGCCTTTGCCGTGATCCTTTCGATTCCAGGCGTTTCTGTGCTGTCGGGCTGAAAGGCTTCTTGCTCTCAATCAAAGCATTTGGGGATTCTGAAAATGATGTTGCTAATAAAGAACTGCAAATCCATACGGATGCCTCGGAATTCCAGAAGCTGGAGAGGGATTCAACTGCTGCTGTTAATGGGTCTCCGGCATTGGCTACATTTCCTAATTACATAGTGAGCTCTGCTTTTTCGCCACACTCCAAGCATATACTTTTTGTTGCTTTTCCGAGAGAGCTGGTAGTGTTTGATTTGCAGTACGAGGCTACATTATACTCTGCAGGGTTGCCCAGAGGTTGCGGGAAGTTCCTACAAGTATTGCCAGATTCAAATATGGAGGTTTTGTATTGTGCTCATCTTGATGGGATGATCAGTATTTGGCAAAGGAAAAAGTAAGTAGTGAGTGACTGAACTTTAGTTTCTGTTTGAATTGTATATTCCTGCACTTCTGTGCTGTTAGTTTGCAGTGTCTGCAAAAAGAAGTATTGCTTAGTGTCCTGATACTAAATGTTTACCCTCCCCCCTCTCAATAGTTTGAATTAGGAGAGGATTTTAGATTAAATATGTCATGTAGTGACAGCATACTGTTATGCCAAATTGCTAGTTGAAATGAAAAAGGTTCCATTGCACTTTTTTGATAGAATCAGAGTTTTGATACATGATACTGTTTTTCTTTGTTACTCATATGAAAATTGAGAGCTCATTATTAAGAGGAACAAACATGAAACATGCTGCAAACAGCTGTTCATGGGAGTGCAATTGTTTTAGGGGTTAATGGGTTATGAACAAACATCTCATATGCAGCATTACAACTGTCAGGCTTTTGGAGACCAGAGTATTATAGTGCGATCATTTTAGGTGTTATGAACAAATAACTAAAATTGTACTGTTTTTTGTTGGGCTATATACACCTTCGGGCTTTTGGAGATCAGAGTATTAGAGTGCAATCATTTTAGGTATTTGTTCATAATACCTCAAAGTTACTCAACTAAGTACTCTCATCCTATCATCTATCCAGCTGATTTCCGCAGAGCTGAACTGTTTAGGCAATTGTTTTAGTAACTTATGTGTGTACCAGTCAGCTGTGTCCCGGAATTCCCAGCAATTTGTACGCAAAGAAAAACTTGGTCAGGTTAAGACTAAAACATCCTGTTTTACCCCATTCCATGTTGAGTCTGCTGTGCATTGCTGTTTATTTCGGTGCATATGGAATTGAGTTCTCAGACTTATGGTCATATACTCCTATACTCCGACGGAGCCATAGATTCACTATTTTTTAGCTTTGGGGTATGATGGAATAGAGCAAAATGACTTTTTAAACTGACTGTTTCTTTTAATAGTGAAGTAGCAATTAGTCAATGCAACTTTCGATGCTCATCTCGGGTCATCAGAAAACAACCGCTCTATGTTTTAAACATAGCGGTCAGGCTGCGTGCGTAATTATCTGTGGTGTTTGAGCCGGGGGTCTCTTTGGAAACCTCTCTACTTTCAAGTAGGGGTAAGGTTGACGTACACACACCCTCCTTAGACCCTACTTTTGTGGGATTCAATTGGGTTGTGGTTGTTTTTGTACTCTTATACTATCTAGACTGGACTAGGATCTTACTATAGGATCCATTTCATCCATAATACAATGGATTCGTGGACAAATAAATATGGTCATTCAAATTGAGAGACTAACACATTTGATGCCTTCTTCTAATGACTTTGTCAAGTGTATTTCATCCCACAAACTTTGCCATGTTTTCACTATATGTAATCTGTTTTGTTTAGTTTTTTTAAAGATAAGATAACACATATTTTTTTTGATAATCTAACAGAGGAGAGCAGATATATACAATCTGTGCTATGGAAGAATTAATGCCTTCACTTGGCTCATATGTACCTCCTCCCTCAGTTCTTGGTGTTGTTATTTGCCACTCAGATGCTATACTACAAAATATCAGCAAACTCTTTTCAGATGGACGTGAATCTT